CCAGTCACATGACTGCCAAGCCACTCCCACTAGGTCACATGGTCGACAAGCCACTCCCACAAAGCAGGCCACACCTACAGAAGAGGTTCTAAAAAATTTTGAAACCACTCCTGGCCCACAGAGAGGACTCTGCATGCCACCTCTGGCACCCATGCCATAGGTTGGCCATCACGGTTCTAGATTGTTCCTGTACATACAGTCTTTTCATTTCAACTCTATATTTATCCGCAATTTGTGCTTAAGTATTTTGGAGCTACATTTTGGCAACCATATTTTCTTTCCCATGTTCCTGCTCTAGGACAGCCAATTCATGCATGATTTCTCTTTGGAAGTGAGCCTTACTATACCTTCTAGGGCTCAAGTTTTGTGTTCATTTCAAGATCTCTGGCATTTCTTCTAAAGTTGTTGGAAAGCTTAGTTTGGAACAGCCTTCTTCAAGTGGTGCCCTGCAGATGTAGAGTGCAAAGATTTTTATGCTAGAATATTATGTAAAATTTTAGAACATGCATGGTTAAAGGGCCTGCTTGATGCCCAGAGTTGTATAGGACCTAAGTTATTGCTTGGAAGAATCAGCTTAAAGTATTGAGAAAGTTATATGGGCAGTTTTTAGATCACAAATATTCAGTGAAAGGAATGAAAAAAAGCATCTGGTCTTAGTGGGTTTGACCTGGACTACAAACAAGACCTGAATGATGAATCCTATACATTGTGAATTCTCAGTATTATATATGATTTCATTTGGTTCCTTCCCTAGTCATCTATTATTATTGTGACCATATATGTAACAAAATGTTTCTCATTTTGTTTTGTTTTTTCACTTTATGGTTTTCTTTTCAGACAACTCGTGGTGAATTTGACTCCAGTGAGTATGACGTTAGAAGACGCTATCAGGACTTTCTGTGGTTGAAAGGAAGACTTGAAGAAGCGCATCCAACACTTATTATTCCTGTAAGACTTTTTATTGGCTTCCATAGAAAACTGGGTTCCAGAGATAGAGCACTAAAATTGGCAACGGCCAATTTTACCAGAGAATAGAGTTTTGGGACTGTTTCCCTATTGGGTTAGTTATAATGAGACAACAGTGTTTTTGTAAAATGAACGATGGCATCATGCCATTTTATTCCAATCATGTTTTGAATCTTGCCCCCAAAACAGACAAAGTTGCTTAAAGTGAAAATGTGGATATGTTAACAAAGATTTCTCTCTACCCACCTTCTCTGTTACTTTTTGTGCCGATACAGAAAGAGCCATGAGTCATTCCATTTTAAGGCATAGTATGCATAGAAATTGTATTTTTAGCGTTGCGGTTTGGGTATCTATGCATGAATGCACCTTAATTAGTTTCCTTCTTCACTTCTTTCTTTCTTTAGCCGTTGCCTGAAAAATTCATAATGAAAGGAGTTGTGGAACGATTTAATGAAGAATTCATTGAAACAAGAAGGAAAGCTTTGCATAAGTTTTTAAACCGGATTGCTGATCATCCTACTTTAACTTTTAATGAGGACTTCAAAATTTTTCTTACTGCACAAACAGAGGTAATGAAACCTTCCGATATTCAGATAGCTAATGGGGAAGCCAGATTCATTTAACAACCAGGTTTGCTAACTTAACAACTGTAGCATGAAAGGTCATAAAATGGGGAAAACCTCTCACTTAGCAACATAAATTTTGGGCTCAAGGCCACCTGCATACCTCCAGCGGGTGAACCTACCGATATTGCTTCCTCCTCCTATTTTCCCCACAACAACAATTGGAACAGCTTGCCTCCAGGAGTTGTGAATGCCCCAACACTGGAAGTCTTTAAGAAGATGTTGGATAGCCTTTTGTCTGAAACGGTATAGGGCTTCCTGCTTAGGCAGGGGGTTGGACTAGAAGACCTCCAAGGTCCTTTCCAACTCTGCTATTGTATTGTATTGTATTATAATTATGGGATATTAGTCAGGTTGACTGACCCAAAGTTACCCAACTGGCCTTCATGGCTGAAGGGAAACTGGAACTCACCATTTTCTGGTTTCTATGCCAGGACATTCACCACTACACCAAATTGGCTCTCTTTCCTCCCTTATTGCTACTTTCCCCTCCTGGCCTTACAGAGAGATTCTCGCAGGAGACTGGCCAGAAGCTTAATACAGTCAAAATGGAAAACACTGGTTGCGGTTGCATGTAACACAAAGACAGGTTATGGCGAGCTGCAAATGATGAGCTGCATTTATGCATTCACCTTTCAGTGTGGTTTCAAGTTTTGCTATAGATAGATGTTTAGATGTTTGGGGAGAAAATGGATTGCATGGATATTGTGATGTAATTGTGATTTTATGCTTTTAATTGCTGTACACTTAATCTAAAATAAAACCACGATGTCAGCCTCTGTTTTGCTGCTTGCTTTTCAGCTGCCATTGAAATGGGGAGGGGGGGCATAGTATTTGGGTGTGGGAAATATTCTGTGCAGGAGTGACTGTAAGAAAGGAGTTGTTCTCACCATCTACTGCGCATGTGGCAAGGAGGGAGTTTCCCGCCAAGGCCAACTGTCCAGCATACCAACCTGATGATGATTTTTGAACCTGGGTACTTGAGAGACCGCCTGCTGCCAATTACTTCCCAAAGACCCATTAGATCACACAGATTAGGCCTCCTCCGGGTTC